GTAAAGGGATACAAGTTTTGGGATCCAGAGGTAAGGAAGATGGTGATAAGTAGGGATGCAGTATTTGATGAAGCATTCATGCTTAAAACTTCTAAAGAGAAGCTAAATTTAGACGAGGGCAGAGGTAAGAGCCAAGTGGTGCAAGTAGAGCTAGACAATATAAACAGAGAAATTAATGCTCAAGGAGCAGATAGTTCTGGGTCAGAGGTGGAGCAGTATCATAGTGTTGCCTTAGATAGACCACGTCGCACTACCAAACCACCAGCAAAGTATGGATTTGAGGATTCGGTTTCTTATGCACTCATTACCAGCAATAGCGATCCTATAACTTTTCAGGATGTCATTGGTAGTCAGGAGAAAGGTAAATGGATAGAGGCTATGACGGAGGAAATTGAGTCACTGCATAAAAATGATACTTGGGATTTGGTGGAGCTTCCAGAGGGGAAGAAACAGATAGGGTGTAAGTGGGTGTATAGAAAGAAAGAAGCAATGTCAGAAAAGGAAGGAGAAAGATACAAGGCTCGATTAGTAGCAAAGGGATACTCACAGAGGAAGGGAGTAGATTATGATGAAATTTTCTCTCCAGTCGTCAGACACACTTCCATCAGGATTGTTTTGACAATGGTAGCTAATTTTGATTTGGAGTTAGAGCAGCTAGATGTGAAGACTGCTTTCCTTCATGGTGATTTGGAGGAACAGATTTTCATGAAGCAGCCAGAAGGGTTTATGGAACCAGGAACAGAGAATCTTGTGTGCCAACTGAAGAAGTCTTTATACGAGCTTAAGCAGTCTCCACGGCAATGGTACAAGAAGTTTGACTCTCATATGATTCAGATTGGCTACAGTCGTTGTGAGTATGATTGTTGCGTATACTACAGTGTTCTTAAGGATAACTCATATATTTTCTTGATGTTGTATGTGGACGACATGTTAATTGCCGCCAAGAACATGGATGAGGTAGACAAATTGAAATCTTTGTTGAGCAGTAAATTTGATATGAAAGACTTGGGACCGGCTAAGAAAATTCTTGGCATGGAGATCAACAGAGATAGGAAAGCCAGAAAATTATGGGTGTCTCAGAAAAACTATTTGAAGAAAGTGTTAGAGAGGTTCAGCATGTCATATGCAAAATCAGTTGCCACACCACTTGCAAATCACTTCAGATTGTCTAATAATCAGTGCCCAAAGAGTGAAGAAGATGTTGCAGAGATGTCAAAGGTACCTTATGCCAGTGCAGTTGGATGTTTGATGTATGCAATGGTGTGTACCAGACCAGATTTAGCACATGCAGTCAGTGTGGTTAGTAAGTATATGGCTAATCCTGATAGAGAGCATTGGAGAGCTGTAAAGTGGACTTTCAGGTACTTGAAAGGTACAATGGAGTGTGGGATCATGTTTGAGAGACAATATGGTGATATTTCAGTTCAAGGATATGTAGATGCAGATTATGCAGGGCAGATTATGCAGGGGACTTAGATGACAGAAGGTCCCATACAGGTTATGTTTTCACACTCGCAGGTGGGCCCATATGTTGGAGGTCAATGGTGCAATCACTTGTAGCATTATCTACAACTGAAGTAGAGTACATGGCGGCAACTGAGGCAGCCAAGGAATTATTGTAGTTGAAAGGGCTTGTCAGGGAACTTGGAATCAAGCAAGATGGAATGAAGTTGTACTGTGATAGTCAGAGCGCCATCTTCTTAGCTAAGAATCAGATTTATCATGCAAGAACCAAGCACATTGATGTGAGATTTCATAAGATAAGAGAGTTGGTTACTTCAGGAGAGTTATTGTTAGAGAAGGTGCATATCTCAGAAAATGCAACAGACATGATGACAAAGCTAATCACAATGGATAAGTTCAAGCATTGCTTGAACTTGATTAACATCTCTAACTGTTAGAGAAGATGTGTCCCAACCCATTGGTCCTAGATGGTGTGATTTTTTTTTTCCAAGTTATGTTTTTTCTCCTAAGGGGTGAATATTTGTCAAGGTGGAGATTGTTGTACATGTGGCTCATATAAAGTGGAACACAGGGCCTAGATCAAATGGGTCGATGCCGGCGTGTAGCGGAGCGTATCGAATGGAACGGAGCAGGTTTAATTCACTGTTTGGTTGTTAGGGACGCTGAATAGGTTGGGGTGCGGGGGCAATGCCCCCGCGGTACGGTACAGGGGTATTTTCTGTACGGGTCTTAAAATTTTATATGGGCCCAGATTAAGGTTAGTATAAATAATATGTTGTAACCCTATTTTTCATAACAGAAAAAAGAAATCTCCGCTTTGCTCTCGTGGACGTAGGCACATCGCCGAACCACGTAAAATTATTGTGTTGATTTCCGTTTTTCATCTCTTTAATATTACGCATAAAATCCAACAAATGTCTATACATAAACAACTTGCAAAATCATCAAAATGTGTTCAACTCTTAATATGTTACATATACCATAGTTCCAACCCAACAACTAATAAAAATTTCAATCATCAGATCATTACAACTATCATACTTACATACTATCCATTTCTCGATCTGTTAAAAGTATTTTTCTATTTTTTTTTTGTTCTATACATTCGAGCTTGAGAGCCTATGATTTCTGTCACCATGACATGTCATAATGCCAATGCATGAACGATGAAGACTTTCATAACTTTGTAAACCATGCTATGATACCACTTTGACACGACTCGTCTCAAATCACCCTAGTGGACTCGAAACGTGACATGCGCCGATGATAAATGCTGACTAGATGTCAAATATATCACCAAAACTGACTATAAATTATTTCAAAAAATGCAACAAAATCAAATGCTTGTGTAAAATATAATGCGATGGGCCCAAAATATTTATTTCGTGCTTCATCAATATGAGTTATAATATTCAACATGTCGTGTGGCTCTCATTTGGAAATCATTAGGCTCTTCTAGCTAAAAATAATTGATTGCTACTTGTAGAAAAAATCATGGGAAAATATATGAGTTGACAGCTCGGTGAGTGGAGAAGTTCGAAAATAATTATACTTTTTCAATTTTAGATTTTTATCGAAAATCGAGTTCATATCATTTAATAATTCACAAGACAACATCATGTAATTATAACCAAAAGTGAAATATTCACATAAGGTCGTAAAATATCATCTCAAAATCATAATATAAACATAAACTGATAATCACGTTATAATCTCATCACATCAAATGTACTAAAAAATTCATCAAAAATGTACCCTCTGACTGAAATATGTAATCCGCCCTTCGGGTTAAGAACTTTCGTCACGAGCCTTTGGCCCCCTCCGTAAACGAAAGTCGATTTCAAAAACCTCTGATAATCAATTTTAGAACACGACTAAGGCCCTCTGTGAACTATATGTACACGATCAAGACCAATCACAGGTCAAGACCCTTCCATGTAGGATAGAACACAACCAAGGCCCCTTTGTGAACTAGAAAAAATATATAATCATGGGTACTTTTCTGATCGATCTCAACATCACATGTCTCACATATCAAGTCATAATGTACCACAAGAAATCTTTGAAATTTCACATGAATCATAATGAAAGAGATTTCTGTAGTAATCATAAAATCGAATACATAATTGCACATAATTTGATAATATACTTAATTTATAAATACTTTAAAAAAAATTATATTTTTCTACTCACCGAGTTCTTAGCAATGAACTAGCTAGGTTTTTTTACTTTTCCCGCTTCTACATCCACCTCCTGAATTGACAATATAATTACTCGGATCAAGACCAAATATGTTAAATAATGAGTAGTCATCTAATATAATTCCTCATTAAAAGAATTTTCCACTCGGTTCACTCAAGTCCACTACTCAATTATTTCCTTATTCAAAGTAAATTATAAATAATTATTTAGCCAATATCATTTAACCAATAATTAATCTCATTAGCCTACTATTCAGTTCTTGTTTATTTCTCCTTCAATAAAATTGATACTCACTCTAATTATTTTCCCCCAATACATCCAATTATATATATTAGTTTCAAGGTACACGTGGCTGATTTTACGTGATTATAATTGTTTTTCTTTACCAATTATACTTAATTGATATTACTTATTAATCCTTCTTTACTTAACTAATTAAAAGAAAAATGGAAACAAGAATTCAATTCAATTTCTACCCCATGTCATGCACACCAACTAATTAGAACAGAAAATCAAAATTTTCCTTTACCTTAAACTGTAGCCCAATTACCGGATTAATTCCCAGCAAAAGATAGTAAAATTTGATGATGATTTCTTCTCCTCCTTCCTCTCCAACCCCCCCCTTTTTTAAACATTTTCTTTTCCTTTTTTTTCCTCCCATTTTTCGGTTTTTGCTGCACCATTTTTCAGCCGGTGTGTATTTGACTATTTGTAATATGAAAGGGAATGAAAAGCTTCTACAAATGACACTTGTCTTCTACCACTCCCATATTTGCATTCAAGTCCCTCTTCAATGTTTTATATAAAATCTAGTCATTAACTTTCCATTCTTGTAATCTAATCCCTAATTGACTTTGACTTTGACTTTGACTAGTCTAACTATTGACTTTGAATAAATAATATTGACTTTCAACTAGTATAAAATGGGATGTAACACTTATTTTCTGGCATTCTTGGTGCAAACCAGATGATATTTTGTCCCACTTTTTATGGGATTTCAGTGTAATAAGCCCTTATCAAAAGTGAAAAGTAAAGGGGAAGAAGCACATTGATTAAAGATTACTTGTACATTTTAAAGCCGGAGGCCCAACACTGTTCTTTTGGTTTGCATATTTGATCCATCTAAGATTCTCAATAAATTTATAGGCAACTCTATATTTTCTCCTCTAAATTTTTCTTCATACCTTTTGCTTTTGAATTTTGTGGTTTGCACGTGGAAAAAGAAATCTGCTTCATGACCTTGTAAATGCCATGTAGAGGAAGGTGATTCTTTTATTAGCAATTATCAAACACATCTCTGAGTCATAACAAGATAAAATGACAGCCAAGGATTCTTCAATTTCTTTCAAAAGCTTAATTAGCCGATAGCTAGAAGAGGTGACTAACTCAACATTGTACTAGGCCTTAGTCAAAGAAAAAAGAATCTGACTTGCCTAGTACCCTAGAGAAACGATAGATTGAGGAATATCTTCTTTTTTCTTAATGACATGAGAACTATTAAATTTTCTATAATCTAAACTCATAAAAGTTGAGACTTCACTGCAGGTTTCACGTGTTTTAGACTGTACCAGACCAATACTAAAGAAAAAGAAGTTCATTCTCCTCTTGTCAAATGCTGCATGTCTCGTATGCTTGAGGGACATACGCGGTCTTCATATATATTCGATTTTTGTGCTTGTGCAATAGAAAACCCTTTATAAATTTTGAAGGCCTTTTGTTCTTCATCTCCACCTCCACAGCAAAGACAGCACACACAGGTCTATGATCAGAAAATTTTGATTCCTTGCGTATATAAGCTAACTGTTTAATGCCATTGCCTCGCCATAATATTCTGTCACACCTGGAGTAAATATCACAACCATATTGAAGATTAGATTTTTACTTGGTTTGTGTGAATATTAAAGAATAAATTTACTCCATCCCTAATGCATTAGGTTTTTGGACTAATGAAGTTTAGAGTTCAGTTGTCATTGTAAATTCTTTTATGAATTTTTGAACGCTATTCGATTAAAAAAAAATGTTTATGTTGAAGACATCTGAAAGTTTAGGTAGCACGAAAATGGGACAATCAACAAGAAATGTGGAAACAATACTGCTGAAAAAAATAGGACAAAGAATGTAATATGATAACAATAATTTACTTTTAAAAATTCGTTATTAGATTTTTAAAGAATCTATTTAACATGAATTCTAATTCTAATAACTTTAATTATATTTGTAATATAAGGGTTAAAGTGTACAATTAAGTTACTTTCAAGTTGAAACCCGGAATTAAATTAATTCTCTGTTGAAGCTCGCAACAAATCCAAAAGTTACTTTCAAGTTAAAACCGGGAATTAAATTAATTCACTGTTGAAGCTCGCAACATATCCAAGAACGAAGTGAAAATCCTAATTAAATTATTAATACTCTCCAAATTTTTGTGAAGTTTTGATATAGTTTTCAAATTTTAGGAAAAAAAGGAAGTTTTTTCCTCAAGTTTCGGAAATGTTTCTTAAAATTTCTGAGAAAAAAATTAAAACATTTTCAAAACAGAATGCCTATCTTTTTAAAGTTGTGCAACCTAACTTAAGCGATTATACAAAGTTGTTGAACAATGCTATCGTGCTTGTGTGCGCGAGAGAGGGACAGAGAGGAGGGATCTAATGTTCTACTTCTCTCATCCTCATCTCCTCCTTTCGATCGAAAGGATTCAAAGCAAATAAATTTTGAGAGGAGACGGAGATATACCATGAAGGGGTTCTTCGTTTCTTCTTCGAGTTGGCAGTCTCTCCAACATAGGAGTCTGAATTATGTGAGTACTTGTAAGTGGGGGCAAACACTATCTTACCCTCGTTCCATCCTTTAAAAACACTCCCTGCTTCCCTCACCATGCTCAGCTGCATGCATGAGTTCAACAATAAAAAAATTGGCAAATTTTTCAAAATAGCCCTCTAGGAAGGAGATATTGATTCCGATTTTATCTTCCATACATCTTTTTCGCATGCTTTCAAATTTATTGTTTCACTAAACGTTTGATTCATGGATAATTTTCATAAATGAGAAGACAATAACTTGCTTTGTTTGGATATTACTTTATATTCCACTTAAAACTTTACCTTTAAAACAAGACATTTTTCATAAATTAGTGTAAGTAATTATTATCGACTTACTTGCTGACTTCTCAAGAATAATGGGGCCATAAACTTAGATATTTACTATATGATGTTTGTTGTTGACTTGTATTGATCCTTGTTTTGATATAAAATGATACCCGTGATATTTTTCTAGTTTTTTATTATGAAGTAGGTCATTCTCTCTGTAATTCTAAAACATAAAAATTCTGTTCGCTCATTTTTAACCGCATGTTAGGAAAAGACCAGATAAGATTGAACAGTATTAAAAATATAAATTCTTATTCAGTTACTATATAATATTACTCACCAACTTCTACTTATTATTACTATCTAGCTCTAAATTAAAATTTCACCAACCTGATCTTTCTCTAAGAGGGAGTTCCAATCATTCTCCTCTAACAGAAGCCTCGTTTCCTCATAGCTCAAGGCCACTCGATAATTCAAGTCGCCAAGACAAATCACACTGCTGAAAATTTTTTGGTTTACATAAGAAGAGCCAATGTTTGGCTAAGCTTAAAAGGTATACTTATAAGTAATAAGTATGTTTTAATGGTGAGATAAGTTTTTATTCTTAAAAATTGCTTAAAAAAAGTGAGGATATCCTAACATATTTGAAAATAAAAAGTAGAACTTGGTTGAATAAAACTTACTTGTGATCAAGAATGCTTTCTGGTATTTGATGTATTTTATTTTTGCAAACCCTGCCGGAAAATCTAGTGTTCTTGAGAATTTCAGCTACATCAGAATTTCTTCTAAGTTTGTGTTTCTCCTTCTCCCCAGAAGCCAAGTGACAACACATAAAGCAAAAGCTTGTTTTGTGCAATGTCAAGCTTATTGATATGCACCCCTGCAATATAATCAAACTCACTGAATTTTTAAGTCCATGGTATGGTGACCCTGTAAAATGCTTAAGTCTAACTGCACCCACGGCCTAGCGTATTTTAATATGATATTTTATGTTTGTTAAAGATCTAGATGCTTCTGATCTTGCTGTAGACGTAACAATATAAAAAACGAAGTGGAGAAAAAAAATCATATTCTTGACTCAAGTTGATGAAGAATTGGGGCAAATGTTTTTTATGTCAACTACTGACGGAATTCTTTTTACATATTTAAGAGAAAGTACCTGTGAAATATTTCTGTCTATAACACTTTCCTTTTTATTCTTTTTATTAAATTGTTGACCGAATTTCTATCCAGAAGTTTACATTTTTATAAAGAGAAAATAGCAACAGAAAATTCTGTGGCTTTCATTTTTGCTGTTTCTTTATTTACATTTTTTCCCCTTAAAAACATACCAATCGATTTTCAATAGCAGTGGATTAATCAGTCAGTAATTTTATTTCTTTGCAAAAAATAAAAATTATTCATGCCAATTATGTCGAATATTTTCACTATTAAGTATTAACGGCTGAAGTATTCCTCAATAAAAAATCCGTTGCTTTTGGCACATATGTTTGGAAAGGGTGTCTACATTCAACCAACCTTGTTGCCAAGATAACCCATGATTCCTCTTCCCATGCAAGAGATTCTAAGATGACCAATGTCTTTCACCAGTTCAACTCGAGCCCAGATCGTAAGAAAGATACCTACCATTTGCTTGCTTGCTATAATCTGGTAATTCAATTTTTCAGGTAAAGAAATATTCCTTCTTGGATTTGAGCAATTACAGGCCTTTAGGTGGTTACTGTCTGCTCTGAGGTTTTCTGTTAGGACGTTTAGTGATGTCTTATGAAAGATTTTTGCCTTCGAATTTTTTGAGCTTTTCGAATCGGAGGAGCCTGAATAAGAAGAAGAAGATTGCAAAGAATCATGATAGGATTTGTTGAGTGCATGGCTTATGAGTTCTTGCCATTTCAAAGCGGGTTTGTTGTCTTCTATCACAATAACATTCCCAGCACTTAATGGAACAATTTCCTGAAAACTGAAACTGAATAGCATTAATAAGGTGGATACAGTAATGGTTAAAGAGAGAGAGAATTAAAAAATAATAATAATAATAACAATAATAATTATGTTACATGTATAAATATTTGACAATTTTTATTGGACAAGTTGTCAGCTTGCAAGACTTTATTGGATATTGGATAAAAAAATAAAGTTAAACCATCCATTGCAGTGTTGTCATCTCATCATCTGTATTTAGTACATTTCATGTGTACAAGAAGTTTAATTCTAAGGAAAAAAAGCCATTTTTTTGTCGTGGAATCTAATGTCAATCTGTTTCTCCATCAATCTTCTGATCCAATAAGGCCGCTATGAGATCGGTTCTCTTATGCTTATTTAGTAAGGTGGGCTGTCAGCTCTACGGAGAAAATAAGCTGAAATATTATGTATTATACTATGGAGTCTTATCACTACATGATGAGCATGAACATATGATATTGACCAGTGAATTTTCCCTCAATTTTCTGATCCTAGACGATAACTAAAAGCATGGAATGACTAAAAATTATAAGTGAACAGGAAAAATAAGTGAATCAGTACCCTACCCCAATACATATATGTCTGAAGAGCACTCCACCTGCAAGAAATCCTTAAGGTTGAGGCCATGGCTGGGAGTCTTTCCTCCAACATTCCATGTTGCTGAAAAAATTCTACAATTTTCCAAAATACTTTTTGTTAGATAGTAAAAAAATAGATGAAACTAATCAAAAAAAAAAATCAATTAATGTGATATGATTATAAGTTATAAGCTATAATTTTACCTGATTTCTTGAATTATTGTAGCCGATGCCATGGTTGATTACTCTTAGGTTTTAGGCCTCCAATTTTTGAAATATGTACTATGTATTTGTGGGATGAGACAAGATATCAAATATATAAGTTAGATTTTCCATGCATGTCCAAAAGTACCAAATAATATAGATTTGTCAATGTCAACTCCCTAGAGGTCATGAAATGTTAACATTAGGATGATTACTAGCACAGTGTCAAAGATAAAATATAAACAAATAAATTTGTCATTTTTTAAGCATAGTAAGATTCTAGATGATCTGGTTTAAGGTAAACAAAGGCCATTTTATGAAAATTTCATGTCTTTGAAGAGATCAAAATGAATCCAAATTGGGATCAGGTTTTCTGCTAAGGTTAAAATATAAAGGGAAAAATCAAATTCACTCAATTTTTTCATTTCCTCAATAAGCAATTGGAATTTTATTTTAAACATTCGCCGAGTCACATACTTCTTCTTCCTTGGCTCGGATCGATGTGAAAATTCAGCATGTTGCATGGCTTAAGATTTTATTCTTGAACAAAAATCATCTAATGTCCAACAATATAAGATCTTTAAAGAGCGGTTAAGATTATAATATGATTGGACGTATTATTGCCTCTAATCTATGAAATATAGATATATCGAGTTTTCTGACCAAGAATGAATCAGGGTTGCATATAAGGCCAGCCACGTTTAAAAGATTACACCCAAAATTAAATAAATTATCTACCACCTTAAATTTTAGATGACATGATTAAGTCCCAATATACATATTATGCTTTTACCCATACGACGAACACGTTGACAATAATTAATATGCTCTTTAGTCTTCAATTAGGTAACCTACCATAATAAGGGCAAGCCAAGTGTATAACTAAGGTTTAATTTTTATATTTAATCTGAATACGCGGCATGTTCCTATGAAATGTTAAAATGTCACATTTATTACAGCTGACTTTGTATCTCTTTAAAATAATAATCTATTCGTAGATTACATTAATTATAATTGACATTAAGATTTGGTGTATGTACGAGAATCTATTAGAATAAATTTAATCTAAAACAGAGAATTCGTGATACAATGAATATATGGTGATTGATCACCAAATAATATTATTAATACGTTTTGGATAATATACATTATGCATAAAGATACATGAGTAGATACTGTGTATTAAAAAAAAGTATCGGATATCATAAATATATAGATTTTGTACATGGAATTTATATAAATATACGAAAATAATATTGGTAATACAATTATCAATGAGAGAACTTTCCTCATGGCGACTGACGCCTGGAGAAAATCTTTGCTTATGGATGTAATCGTCGTAATTCAAACATGTCCCAAAACATCCCAACAAAATAAAAAAATTATTTGGATAGATGTACAAAATTGACTAAGATTATAATTAAGTAAATTAAACTTATTCATAACTATAAGCTTTTAAAAAAATGTTTGAATAAGTTAATTTGTTTTATTTATTCCCTCCCTATATTAAAAGAGGCTTAAAAATTAAGTAAATTGTTCATTTGACCTCATCTAATACGGTGCCATTTCGGTAGCATCATAAATCTCTTTGGTGATTATTTTAGGAAAACTCCAAGTACATGATTTTTTTCACAGAATCCCAATACATCCAGCAGTGGCAACACCTAATTTGCAGACAAGTTTTTGTTATTTTGTTATCTGCCAATGAATTTCTACCATGTAGAATCCTGTAAAATTTCTATGAAAATTTCCTTATAATTGTAGCATTATTCAATATTTAAACTATCTCGTGACCAATAGATCGCAGTGGCGATTACCACATCTTTGTTGTAGCTTTATCAAGGAGATAATGTTCATTGAAGTGTCATCATTTGTGGCTTCATTTTGCTTGCGTCATAGTTGGATCTTCATTTTTTTGTAGTTTGTCAAGGGATACAACATAATTTTTCATCAATGGTTTGTGATCGTTGTATGCTTCTGGGAATGAGGGGTGACCATCAAGTCTTTATTTTAGTCTTAATGGGAAAATATTGTTCATTTCATGGCGTAATTTTGTTCACCTCATAAATCAGGGTTTAGTATAAAAAAAAAAAAAAAAATTTATGTCTATAAAATGACGTTGTTCATGAATCATCTAAAATGGGATTGGAATATGTCTCGTGAACTTTGTTAGTTGTCCATTCTGAACAAAGTGTGTATACATGCTCTTTGAAGCAAGTTTTTATTGGAAAAATGTTTCCAACACAAAAGGAATGGAGAAAAACAAAAAATAAAAAACAAGAACATGGGAATTAAAGATAAAGGCTTAAACTGTTGTTCTCAAACAATATTTGCTCCTCTGGGATTGAATTTGATATTTAAAGGGAAATTGGCAAATGGTTTAAAAGATTAATCAAGCCTTGCAATAAAAAAACATTTAAGCATTTAGTATTTTTCCACCAAAACTTCAAGAACATTTTGAAAGTAATTTGAAGATGAAGGAAGGAATATAAATTCTTTCTTTTGGAAAGAAGATTTGATCTTAAGTTGTTAACTTATATTTTTAATGTTTTAATCTATCATGTATTTATAGATTTTAATCAACACCCATGAAATAGTGTCAAAAAACTATGAACAATTACAAGCTTTTCACCAAATGTCACTAGGAATTCAAACAAAAAATCAACCTGAACGGTTATTTTTAGTTTTATGCGACCGCAAACAAACGTATGCAGTCACAAAGTTCAGTTTGCAGGGCATATAATCCCTATATGTCTTTATGTGATTGCAGGCCGCAAAGGCCTATGTGAGTTTTGGCCTCCAAATCCTTTTTTCATTCTGGAACCTATTTTATTGATTTTGAACAATGATTTCAACTATCCCCAACTTGTTCAATACTCAATAAAATTTCATATTCAAAATATACAATCCTTATGCATAAGAATTAGATATCTTTCAATTTGAATATAATCATAGTGTAATTCATACAAAGTAAAGTCGAAATTAAAGGTAGCAAGAAAACTTTAAATCGATTGTTTATTGCGACAATACCAGTAAGAACACACACACAAAATTATCATATGTTCTCAAATTCATTAATCTCACTTAGCGCTAATATGGCATTGCGCTCATTCTATTCAACGAACATTTAAGAGAGAAACTCCAACTCACTATTGAGACCGCATCACCTGAAAGTTCATCTAGGTGAAGTTTTTCTAATATCTTTTGTTATTTTTAGAGATACTTGTACTTTAATACTAAATTTCATTAAAAGCTTAAACCTCAATCCTCTTTCAAGTAACAACAGATATTATATTATTAGGTAGGATTATTATGGATTTTATAATGTTGAAACTATTCACATATTGAATGACTTTGTTGTTACCTTTTGAATTCATGAATTACTTGTAAAGTAATTACAGGTAGAATTGTAATCATTGGTGAGTCTTTTATTTTAAGAGTTTGAATCATGTCTTACTTGAAGTAGAAATTACTAATTCTTTAAAGGTTTAGTTAAGGGATTCGCTAGATTCTCAATTAACTTAACATAATTTAGGGAAATTATTCCACTGTTGATTAATTTTTTATTGTAGTTGTGTCTCAAACTTATATGTCTGGACTTCCCATTGTATACCTCATTGTATGTCTTTGCTAATGTGGTCTGACTATCATATATGATAGATATTGAAGATGTATTTTTTGGGCCCAAAGATATCTCATAAAAAAGATGCTTAAGCCACTCAACTTTTTTCTTGATATCTGTAACGCTATAAATTAAGATTCCATAGTTTAGTGTATAATACATATTTCTTTGATTTCCAAGAAACAGCACCTTCTCCAAGAGTAAACACCCAACTTCAAGTAGATTTACTTTCACCCTTGTTATATATCCAACTAGTATCGATAAATCCTTCTAATATAGTTGAGAATCAACCTAAGTTCTTGGTTTTCTTTAATAGCCAAGAACTCTTCCAGTGGTCTTCCAATGTTCCTACTCGAATTACTAGTAAACCTACTAAGTTTATTAATTGCAAAGGCTATGTCTAGTCTTGTGCATTAAACTCCATACATTATATTTCTTATAACACTTGCATACTCCAATTGATCAATTTCTCTTCCATTATTTTTTATAAGTTTTAAACTTGATCAAGAGGGGTATTGAATTCTATTATGTTCAAATGTTTGAACCTATTCATCATATTCTCAATATGATGTGATTGACTCAAGAAAAAATCCCACTAGTTTTTGTAACAATACCCAATATTACATCCACTTGTCCCAGATCTTTTATCTTAAATGTAGAACATAGAAACTCTTCGTTTCTTTGATTCCATCCATGCAGTTACTCATAATTAATAGATCATCAACATACAAGTAAATAAAGATTATTAGGATGTTTGGCGGGAATTAAAATTAGATTTTTTAGTAGATTGTTATACAAATTTTTGAAATGCATGGTTGAAAAATTGTGAGACTCATGAAATATGTGGTTAATAGTAATTATTTTACTTTGACTTAGATTAAAACCAAATTTTAATCAAAACCAAACATATGCTATAGACTCATCACACAGTTTAGAATATAAATATTTAGCTACACTATTATTTATAAATCCAAATGAATTAATAGTTAAGTCAAAATATTCATGCAATTTCTTAGGTGGTTATTTTAAACCTATAACGATTTCAGTAACTTACACACCTTATGTTCATTTTCGGGTAGAGCAAACCCTTCGGATTATTCCATATAAACTTGTTCATCGAGATCCCCATTTAAGGATGTTGTCTTGACATCAATTTGATTAACATTCAAGTCATGTATTAAAGTTAGTGCGAATAAAATCCTAATTGAAGTTATTCTAGCTACCGCTGCATAGGTATGAAAATAATATATTCCTTCCTTTTGTCGATACCCCTTACCTACCAATCTAGCTTTAAAGGTATTAAGAGAATCATCAACATTATATTTTCTCCTAAACATGCCATTTACATCTAATTGGTTTTTCCGAGTGGTAAATCGACAAATTATCATGTATTATTTGACATAATTGAATCCATTTCATCTTTAATTGCATTATCCCAAAAGATGTTATCATAAGAAGTC